CCGTTGTTTTCTGATAATCTCTCAGTACATTATTTGCATCTGTTGTGTAACTGTATTTGTTATTGTTTCAATTCTTGCTTATTATAGTATTTAAATATTTGAAGATTTAAAAAAAAAAAATATCATTTCTATTACTGAATTTTTTCATTGGGCCATTTTTACCTACTTGCAATTTGGGGCCATTTTTACTGGGGCCATTTTTTCCTGGGCCATTTTTTCCTACATTCATGCCATTCATACCTGGGCAACCTTGGAGATCACTCCTTTCAGCAAAATTGATACCATCTAGACAGCAGCCATAAAAGGACTGTTCACAGCTTATCTGTGTTGTGGTCTCTTCTATGGTCGTTGGTACTGGCATCGGTTGGGTGGTGGTTGTTTGTGTAGTTGTCAATATCTGTGTTGTTCTCTGAGCAGTTGTTCTTTGTGTAGTAGTGGTTCTTCTTCTAGTAGGGACTGTTGTTGAATCTTCTGTAACAATCAATGGCATTTCGGTAGTCGTCATTCTCCTGCTTTGTAAAGTTTTCAGAGGTCTTGGAGTATATGTTGTCCTGTGTCTTGGTAGGGCTGTTGAAAAAGGTGACCTCTCTTCACCACTTCCCCCTTCAAATAATTCACCTACAATACAAAAAGAAAATATTCTTAGGTATTATAAATTTTGTGTATACAGAATGTTAATGCATTACTAGGAAAAAATCCCCAGAGAGAGAAGAAGGTTGCACAATGTGTGGACTTGACTTTCATTTTAATATCTTTAAAACTTCTCTGCTGCTTTGATGAAGATCAGGTTGGTGCCATTTGCTTATATTAGTAGAAACAAACAAATAAATACACAAACTTATTATTATATAATATTCATTCATTCATTCATTTCACTTTATTCATATAAAACATCAATAAAACATCAATAAAAAAGAGGTCACAAGTCATGGCTTGAAAGACTAATTATATGCAAGCCTTAAAATTTCAGTAAAATTTAAGACAATATATACACAAATTAATTATAAACATAACTTATTGATTTGCATTAGCATTTACTTATTTTCAATTATATAAATTATGAAAATACATATTTCCCAAATTGAATTGAATTGTTTTTTTTTTTTATAAAAGGATGAATATGCTGAATTTTAATTATGATAATGCAAACTGAAAACAAATCAAATTACATTTTGGTTGTTTTCCTCGTTTTCCAGACCTGGTTCCTCGAATCTCAACTCCT